AATGATTAAATAATTAGATTTTTCAGGAAAATTGATTATCCCTTGTTTCATTTTACAATGTAATGATAGAAGGTAATAAAGCGAATGAAAAGTTCTTTATTATTAAATTTTTAGTTAATTTGTTTAAACAATTTCTAATTGTTAAAAATCAATGTTTTATTAAATGTACCTAAAATCACCTAAGTTTTTTCTATTCTATAATCATCTTCAACTAACTAAATCTATTTATTAATTAATTAATTAATTAATCAATTAATCTATTTAATAATTTTTTCGAAACAATTCAACTATACTTTTATAAATACTAAATAAATTTTCAAAATTTACAATAAAAAAAAATTTCAATAATTGAAATTTTTGTAAAAATTTAATTGAAAATAATTGATTTTTTTTCAAAGCGTTTGATAAAAATTTTTGAGAAAAATAAACTTTAAAAGAATTTTAATTGTAAATTTTGAAAATAATTAATTTCTCAAAAATTTTAATAAAAAATTTTCATAGTATAAATTTAAAAATGGTAATTAATGAAAATTAGCTACAAAAAAATAATTCTTACAATTTTTGCATTCTAATTTTTTAAAATTCAATTATTTTCAATATTTTCAAATACAAATTTCTAAAAATTCAAATACATGGAAAAAATAATAAACATTAAAATTTTTTACAATTACTTTTAACATTTTTAACAACATATGACTTTTTTAGATTTATTAAAATTTTGAAGAAATTGCGTTTATATTAATAATTAAAATTCTTTAAAAATTCAATTTTTTTTTTAATACAATTTACCAAATTTCAATTGTTTGGAAATTTTTCAATTCAATCTAATTGAAAAACAATCTTTTATATAAATTATTTTAAAAATATTTTTGAAAAATTAATTTTAAGAAATGTTTTATTATAATTTTTTGAAAATTAATTAATAACATTAAAAAACATGGGACAGTTGGAATCATTATAAAGAACTGAATTTTTTAATTTAAATAATAAAATCTGTTTATATTGTAGCCTTAAGGTCACAATATAAACAGATTCATTTGACAAAAATTAAGGTCCTGAAAACATTCTGTATTTAAATAATTTGAATTCTCTAAGAACTTTCGGAAAATTATTAAAAAATAATTGATTTCGAAAAGAAGTTTGATTAAAAATTGTAGAAAATAATTTAAGAGAATTAAAGTATTGTAATTTTTGGAAGTTATTAAATTTCAGAAGGTTTTAAATAGAAATTTTTTTAAATTTCATTCCCGTATAAAAACAAACAAGAAGTATTTAAATATTTATTTAACGAAATTATTCAAGTTTTAAATATAATTAAATTTAGAAATCAGCGAAAGATGAGAAGAATAAAAAATAAAAATTTTGTGACACTAGTTCGCCTGTGCGTATACTTTCTTGCATACAGGAAAGCGAGGCGTAAAGCATTCAATCTGGGGAGTTAGAGTGAGGTCAATGGAAAGTGGCATAATCGCGGATGTGGATCGCTCAAGGAGAGCAAAAGAGATCCTTTACCTCACTTACGTAACGACTTGCTTCACGTCTCGTGTCTTCGACCGCACTCTTCCCATCCTCTTGTCGACCCCCACCGCTTTTCAGGGTCGCTCGAGCATATATATATACATACACATAGAAAATAAGAAACAAAAAATAATTATCAACAGCAACCTACTCCTTAAAAATAGAAAATTCTCTTTAAAAATAATTCATTATTAGACAAATTTCGAATCAATAATTTCAATTTGTTAAAATCAATAAAAATCAATACTAATAATTAGCAGCCATAGGGTTGAAAATTTCAATATGACGTAATTTATTTTGAACAAATAAATTTAACTAAAACAACATGACACGGGTTGTTTTTTTATTTTAAAATAATTATTTTGAAGGACCACTTGGGAAATGTATATCTATTTATTTATCGTGAAAGGAATCTCGGGATCTCGATTTCCTTCGTCGACTTTTAGCACGCACTGTTAAGGGGATTCGTCCCGGATTCCGTATATTTCCGGATTTAGCAAAATACGCGTGACAGGTAGACACAACACTGCATCACTTTTTTTTCTGTATAAAATGTTCTATATATTCTATATAATTATATTATTCTGTGTATATAATTATTATTTAAATATATTTTTGTATTTTATGTATATTTTATATTTTAATTACAATTTCCGAAAAACATTAATCAAGTGTTTTTTGTGTATATTTTCTGTAAAATTTCTCAAAAAAAATTGAATAAAATTCGTTGCAATAATTTAATTATTTTCATAAAAATAATAAATCGATTATTCGGTAATTCATTTTTAAATCAATTTTTATTAGAAACTTGTAGAAGAATTCAATTATTTAAATTAAAAAATAAATAATTTATTGAATAATTGAATGTTTGTTAAAATTGAATTTTTATGAAGAATTTTATTAAAATTTTTAATAACAATTGAATTCTTTCGGCGAACTTAAAATTCTTTAATTTAATAAATATTAGAAAATAGAAACTAAAAAATATTATTAAAAAAACGCAATTAAACTTTTTCAAAAAAATTAATTACAAAATTCAATTATTTTTAAAAATTCACGCTATATTGCTTTTAATATTCAATTATTATCTAAAATTTTAACTGAAATTCATTTTTATGAAATGCATATCAATTTTTATTAGAAAATTCTACTAGAATTCAATTATTTAAATACAAATTTAAATGTAAAAATGCAAATAAATAATTTATTGAATAATTGAACGTTTCTTAAAATTCAATTCCCATAAAAAATCGTTATCGACAAATTTTCAAATAATTCAATTCTATCAACGAATTTTAATAAAATTTTTAAGAAATAATTACATTTTTCGAGAAATTCGATTAAAAATGTATTAAAAATAAATAAAATAGTTGAAATTCTGCATTAAGTTTTATTATTTATGAAAATAATTGAATTCTTGCGAAGAGTTTTATTAAAATTTTCAAAAATAATTAAATTCTTGTAAAAAATTAACAGGAATTCAATTCTTTTTAGAAATTTTAATAAAATTCTTGGCATAAATTAAAAATAACAAAATTCTTAGCAGATCTTCAATTACTATCAGAAATTTTAATAAAATTTTTCGCAAGAATTTAAATATTTTCGTAAAATAATAAAAATCTTTGCAGGGATTCAATTATTTTCAAAAGTCTTAATAAAATTCTTCGCAAGAATTGAATCATTTTCAAAAATATCAAAATTTTAGCAGAAATTCAAAAATTTTAAAAAGTTTTGATAAAACTTTTTTTTGATATAGAAATTCAATTATTTTTAAGACAATTTTATAAAAAATGTCTCGATAAAATTCAATTACTTTTTAAATTTTAATGAAATTCTTCGAAAGAATTCAATTATTGTAATCTAAGATTTTAACTGAAATCTATTTTTAAATCAATGTTTATGAGAAAATTCTATCAGAATTCAATTATTCAAATACAAAAATAAATAATTTATTGAATAATTGAATGTTTCTTGGAATTCAATTCCTATTAAAAATTTTATCAACAAATTTTTAAATAATTGAATTCTTTTGACAAATTTTAATAAAATTTTTTAAGAATAATTACATTTTTTTGAGGAATTCGATTAAAATATTGTATCAAAAATAATTAAAATCCTGCGATGAGTTTTATTATTTATGAAAATAATTCAAATTTTCCCAAGAATTTTATTAAAATTTTTCTAAAATAATTGAATTTCAGAGAAAAATTTTATTATTTATAAAGAAACTTGAAAGTTTTACAAGAATTTTTTTAAAAATTTTTTTACATAATTGAATTTCTGCGAAGAATTTTATTACTTTTGAAAATAATAAATTTATTTCTTCCAATGAATTTTATTCCAGTTTATAAAAATAACTGAATTTCTGTGAAGAATTTTATTATTTATATAAATAATTGAATTCTTGCAACGAATTTTATTCAAGTTTATAAAAATAATTGAATTTCGGTGAAGAAATTTATTATTTATAAAAATAATTGAATTCTAGAGCAGAAATTTGTTAAATTTTTTTAAATAATTGAATTCTCGCGATGAATTTTATAAAAATCTTTTTAAATATTTGATATTTTTCGAAAAATTTTATTAAATTTTGTATTTTTAATAATTGAATTCCTGATGTGAAAATTTTATTACTTATGAAAATAATTGAATTATTTCGAAGAAATTTATTAAAAAATTTTGTAAATAATTGAATTCCTGTGAAATTTTGTCAAGAATTTTATTAAAATTTTTCTAAAATAATTAAATTTTGGAAAAGAATTTTATTATTTATAAAATACTAGAAATTTTTATAATAATTATTTTTTTAATTTTTGAAAATAATTGAATTCCTTAACGATTATTATTAAAATTTAGAAAAATAATTGAATTTCGATGAAGAATTTTATTAATTATAAAAACAATTGAATTCTTGAAAAGAACTTTGTTAAATTTTTTTTTCTAAATAATTGAATTCTTGCTATGTATTTTATAAAAATATTTTTAAATAATTGAATTTCTATAAAAATTTTATTTAACTTATGAAAATAATTGAATTATTTCGAAGAATTTTATACAAAATTTTGTGCTTGAAGTCCTGTGAAATTTTGACAAGAATTTTATTAAAATTGTTTAAAGTAATTGAATTTCGAAGAAGAATTTTATTATTTATAAAAATAATTGAAGTTTTGATTAAAATTTTTAAAAAATTTTTGAACATAATTGAAATTTTGTGATGAATTTTTATAACTTCTGAAAACAATTGATTTTCTGGTAATCATTTGTAATTTTTCCAAAATTCAAATTTTTTTTAGTATTTTTAACTAAAATTCTTCTATCAATCTAGTATTTATGAAAATTGTAAAAATGATTCATTAAATAATTTATAAGTCATAATTTTATGATAGTTCTTGAAAAATTAAGTTATTTAAAAAGAAATTATTGGCAGAAATAGAAAAAATTGAAGGTTTTGTATTAAAAACGGGTTTATATATTAACGACAGTAACAATGTATTTTATCTTTATTAACACTCAATCCTTAATGACATAATTAATGCATTTGGTAAAATTTTAAAATTCACTACATATATACAATTTACCTTTAAAAACATTGACAAAATGCTAACAATAAAATATTATCCTTTGCGCCAAATTAGAAAAATTCAAATCAAATTATGGCTCATTTGATATGATTTGTCTTTTTTTACAACACAATATTGATATATTATTTTTTATCATGCATAAACCACAAGATTTTTTATACACCTTTTACATTATAACGAAGATAATTTTATTTTTGGAAGACATTTTTTTGCATATATTATACATATTTATATATTGGTCATTGGAATGATGCTTTTAATCACTTTTTTTGTCATTCATATACTAGAATAACGTTAATTTATTTCAAGCCCTGAATAATTATTGCAAGAGATTCTAAAATTAATTATTATGCATCTGTTATATAACAGTACACGATCACGTGACTTAACAATCACATACTGTTAATGTTATGTTATTTAGTGATCATGTGTCACACTTCAGTATTAGTACACATGATCACTAAATAACGTAATCTTAATGGAGAGATTCTTATAAATTAAGTCGTATTAAATTATTAATTTCTCATTTCCCAAGTTACAATATTTTAAGTACCTGTATAAATATATGGACAATTGTTTGTCTTAAGACATTTTTTTCATTTGAACATTAAAATATCTCAGCTTTAAGTTGTATTTTTGGATTTTCGATGCATCGTTTACTTTGAATTAACTGCAACTCTATTTTTTGTGATTGTTGCATTTCTTTGCCTCTTAAGCCTGTAAATCGAATGAATACAAATACTTGTATTAAAATAAATAAAATTTTAACAATGTTTCATATTTACTAAGATTGTTGATTGTAAACTCAATAATTTAAATATTGATTTGTAAAATACTTTCAAACAATTATACTCACTTAAGGAATGATCGTATGTTCTTTGTAGAACTTCAAATAGAGTATTTATTGTCTTCTCAAGTGCAACTTTCAAATCCTTTTCCAAAAATGTATGCGCCAGAAGTAAAGCTGCAAACAGATCACCAGAACCCGTGTAGATGGCGGGAATTCTTGGAATCGTAATTTTTAATAACCTATTATCTGTATAATAAAAGTAATGAAAATATTTTAAGTATCTATAACCTTAGGGTAAATTTATAAAAAAGTAATATTAATTAGCAAAAAAGAAACATTAATGGTATTGTTTTGTTCCGCAGATATATTCAATCAAAGGTGGAAAGACACTTCCGTTGGCACTCTACAGATATCTTTAAAAAATTTTGATATCTTATATTAATTGAAGTGCTTGGGCTTGTCGATTTAGACAATAAGACTCAGAAGAAGATTTTTGGAGGAATGGCAACAGATAATTGGAATAAACGTCACTTACATCTAAACAATAGATTTGATATGATTGAAAAAACAATTCAAATAAGTGAAGCAGCGTGTTCCATTTAATACATCTCTAAAAATCAAATTCGCATTCAATAAGGGGCCGATTTGACAGATTATGAAGTAATGGTTTATTAAATAAATTGTTAGAAAAATATTGAATAGAAATAACTTTAACCATTTTTTTGGAGATATAGCTAAGCCTTTGTTTCGAATTCTGAATAATGCAGACTTTGTAGCTATTAAAAGTCAATTTGATGAAGTTCTTGATGATCAAAATCAATTAGCAAATATATTGACTAATCATACGAAAATTATAAAATTGATTCCTGGATTTAACATCATTAGATCTCGAATTACTTCAAACACAAACTAATCGATAACTAGAATTAACCATGAATTTACTTAGGACAATAAACGAAATGATAGAAAAAACTTTTATGAATTGAAATAAGCAGTAATTGTAACATTTTTGATTGACAAACAGAATGAAGATATAAATATAGCAATAGAATAATTTTTAAAAATATGTTCTTTTCATACCTTTGATTGAACTAGTTACCGAAATTAATTTATCGTCAACTAACAACGAAGAGACTGCTACAGTTTTTGGTCCCTTTCCATGCAAATATTCTACTGCCTTTTTTAAATCAGACATTGATTTTACCGAGAGTCCAGTAAGAAGTCTAGAAAAATAAGTAAAAATTTAATTAGAGTTTAATTTTCAAGAACGAAAAATGATTTTTTCCCCTCTAATTTGTCTTTTCTTTAAAAAAGATTAAAAACTAATATTTAGAATTAAATTTCCAAATGTAAGGTTTGTTTTAAAGTTACTTTTTTGAAGATTAAAACTTACTCCAATTCAAATTGATTAGGTGTTATAATGTCCGCCAGCGGTACAATTTCATTTTTGTAAATGTCTTTCAACTCCTCTGGTACATACAATTTTCCATCGTCTCCCATTACAGGATCACAGACTAAAATTTTTAACAGATTATAATTTTTATTATATTATATATAGGTACGAATTTTCAAAGAATTAAAAAACGCTCTAGTTAAAACTTTGGTAAAATAAAATTCAAAAGAATAACATAATTTTTATTGGAATTACCATAAATAAGATCCGGGTTTTTTATTTTAAGGGCTTTTATCACCTGGACAATTTTTTTTAAAAAAGAGGAAGAGCCCACATAACCAGTGAGCAGATGAGTGTATTCATTGAGATCATTTTCTGTTAAGCCATCTATTAATTGATCTGAAAGAAAATATAGTTAAGATAATTTATTTAATTATTATTTCCTTTCACTAAATTAAATTAATTAATTATTATTTTCCTTTCATCCTTATTGTTTTGCGTTAATTATGAAAAATTTAATTTTCATAGAAAAGTTAAAGTATACATAACGTAGCCTCAAAATTCTTCCAAATATTTATTAAATTAAAAGTCATCAAAAGTCTATTTCGCAATTAAATAATAATCTTATAAAACGAAATTTTCTTTCAATATAAATTGGGTCTTATAAAAATTTATACAAATTTCAGTTCTGTAAATTGTAAATTTGTTAAAATAACAATTCCTATTAATGAATAAATCAATCAAACAAAAATTACATTTGATAATTTTTTATTGAAATGAGGATTGAGCTGTGTATGAAAATTCTGTTAAATAAAAAATCTATAACACATAAATTTTCTATTAAATAAATTTCATGCTAAACAATAATTTTCTTGAACAAAATTTACTAGAAATAGAATAATTTTTAATCAAAGAATCTTTAGCTCAATACAAACTCTAATTCTTAAAAATTATTTCAAAAACAAATTCTTTTATTTGAAAAGTAATGTCACTAAATATTTTTATTTTTAATCATTCTTTTATTATATATTAAATCTTTTGTTTACGTGTGCATTTTGATATATAGTAATTTAAACAAACAAAACATCTGTGAAAGAAAAGTTATATCTTATGAAATTCTTCCTTTTGAAAGTTATTTGGAATGAACTCTATAGGGGATAATCATGCGCGCCATAATTTTAACTTTCAGAAAATTTTCGGTGCTGTGTGGGTAATAATTTAAATATTATTAATTAATAATTTATATAATTAACATATTATTATTTTTTTATACCTAAATCTTGATCATTAAGTACTTGTCCCTTGAAGACTTTATAACCTGTATGGTTGGACAGTTGAACTGAATTAATAGCGTCAACTTCAAATCCTAGAAGCTGAAAGTTAAATGTTAAAATACAAATTTTTGTTTGATAATGTAAAAATTATTTTTAATTATCTGTAGTCAAAAATAATTTTTATTCTCTATAATATATATTTCACCGTCCGCCATATTTAATTTTAAAAATCTGACATCAGATTCGTATAATCAGCGAACCCGTAAAATAAGGGGTTTTCGAATGCGCTAATTACGAATCAGAAGTAAGATTTTTATAATTCAAAATGGCGGATTCAATATGGCGTTCAATATTTAAAAAAAATTGAAATTTCTTAAAATTTTGACCTCCATATTGGTTCCGCCATTTTGAAAATCTAACATCAGATTCGTAACCAGCGATCTTAAAAACCCCCAGATACTAAATTTTATTTAAAAAAAAAATAATAATTTTCATAAGATATCTAAATATTATAAAAATTATTTTTGACCTCCAGGTAATTAAATATTAATGAAAATGTAATAAAAAATTTGATAAATATAACCTATAATTTTTTGTCACATATAAGATCCCTTTTACCGAAACGAGACGCATGTGTAAAATAAGAGGTTATGTAATATAGTGATATGAAACCGGTATAAAAGTATATAATTTTGAAAGAATTCTTAATTTCTTAATTAAGAAATAAAGCAAATTCATAAAAATTTTATATGATAACAAATATTTAAAATAGAAGATAACTTTACGACCGCATAAATTGATAACAAGTTTTTTTTTAAAACAGAATGAAAATTTAAAGTCGACTTTTTTATTATTCCAGCGAGATTTTTTTAATGTTCATTTTTGCTATTTACAAGTCGTAAATGTTTTATTTTAATGCGAAATTAATATAATAATAAATAATTATGCTCATTTTTGATCTAATCAAAGTTTTATTTATTTAAAGTTCCTTGGAAATTTATCTTAAGCTCTCACAGCTATTTCCGTAAATTCTGTTTTGGAAAAATAGAAGATAAAAGAAAGTGAAAATTTCCTTCTGTTCACTACCTTTAGGAACGATTGATTTTTAGTATTTTAGAGTATAAAAAAGCCCCTTAGACTTAATAGAACATAAAAATATTTCAAAAAAAAATATTTACAAATAAAAACATTTATTGTTTAAATCAGGTATTTTGAAAAAATCGAAAATAGTTAAAAACGTTAAAAATAGAGTAAAGAATGAAAATGATGAAAATTCATTGACAAGGTCATATTATATATAGTGTCGTCTGCTAAGCAGCCAATGAATGTGAGTGATCAATGAAAAAGTAGTATATAGTATGAAAAGAGTGGGGTGAAAAACGCTCTAAATTTAAGTTTCAAAGAATAATATTATTGTATTAATGAATAAACTGACCTGTAGTGGAAATGTTGCACTTTTATTACCAACATAACCATAAACAACGTGACTTTGAATTGAAAGAACGCGTGCCGTTTTAGAATTATTCATTTTTTTCTTACTTTCTTTTCAAATAATCGACTGTCATGTGCCAATAGGTGTGGAACATTCTGTTGAAGTAATCTTTATAATTATCCCCCTTGGAGAAACGAACCAATCACGTGATCGCAATATTACGCGTTGAGCAGTCGACGCACAGGGGCGTAAGAACAATTTTTTTCTCTTTATTTCTCCACTTTACTAATTAAAAGTTATTTTAAATTTATGTTAATTTTTTTCCTATTCGTTACCACATTGAAAAAAATTACATATTTTTACGATTATTTTCTAATATTGAAAAATATTCTTTAAATTTTAGAAGAGAAAAAATATATTGAAAAAAGGGAGTAATTGTTTCTTTTATTCACGTTCCTGGAAAAAAGTCGTTTTCTTATCGACTTTATCGGAATTTATGGTCTTACATGGAAACCTTTAATTTATGACCTTGCGATCTTTCGGTTTTCTTATTTTTTTCTAAAACACTGCAAAACCTCTTTAAGTATCTTTTTTGAAATTATACTTTTTGAAACTTTTTTCTACTTTTTATAAGCAATTTTTTTTTCTTTTTTGTAAATATTATTATTTTATTTTTCTATTTCTTGTTTTCATTTTTTAAATATTAAAATTTTTCTCCCAATGAAATATTTCGATTTTGTGGAAAATTTCTTTTTTATAGGGAATTTAAATTTACCGCGCAATGATAGAAAACAACTTTATCGACGTTTAGTAACTTCTCTCTTCTCGTGTCGTCACTGTTTTGATCAGGAAAGGTTTTAATATGTATATTGTTTGTGTGTGAATATCATCATCGAGGAGAGGAGATAAAAAGTATGGCGTTGTGGGAAAGTGAAAAATTTCGCGATAATAAAACAAACGAAAATGAAGATACTTTTGAGAATATTCTAGTGAGCCATGACCTGCAGGATTATTTTGACAATAGTCTTGATATTCCAAGTTTTGACAAAGTTTATGAGTCATCCGCCATTTTTGACTATGAAAAAAATTCTGACGAAGAGTCGTCGTACGTTGAAAGATTACCCGATGACAGTACGGGGTGAGATTTTTTATTAAAAAAAATTTACTAATTTTCACATATGGTTACAATTATCATTATTAATAAAATTACTTCTTTGAAAACATTTCGTTATAGAAAAAATCTCTTTATCTCATATTTCTAAATCAAAATAATAATAATTTTGATTCTAATTTTTGTTCCCCTAAATTCAATTGATATTAAATTAAAATAAATTTCTTCGATAATTTCTTCTCGATTCGAAAATTTGCAGTTTTTTTTCCATCTTTGTTTCTTTTTCCTCCGAAAACTCTAATTCCCCGAATTCGTGAATTCTATAGAACTCCAGTCGTTCCTTATAAGGACATCCCCTTAAGAAATCTAACCTTTCGGGAAAATTTGATTCGTTGAATTTTTAGAAATAAAAAACGCGCATGTTTATTTTTAGGTTATGTTTAAAATACCGCGATTATAAATTTTTTTTCTTCAAAAAGTGTCAGTTTCTGCTTTGTTTTCTTTAAAAAAAAAAAATGATATCAATTAAAAAGTGATGACAACAATTTTTAAAAAAAGAGAAAAATAATCATGGAGAATATTATAGATATCGATATCTGATTGATATAAAAAATTTTCAGAGAAAAATATGTTTTATTTTTACGAATGAAACGTTATTGTAGCTTTAATAAATGTAATTCCAAAAATATGTGTTGAATTTTGTTGCATAATGTAGGAATCTTTATTTCTCGTGTGTTTGTGTGTGATTCTTGTCATAATTTGTTATTGATAAAACAGGTGGAACTTGCAAGACTGTAACATATTTAGTTTCTCCCTCGTCCATAAATAACAATATATATCTCATGCGGGTGTGTATTACTCATTTTTAGAAAAGATTTATTTTTAGTTTTTTTTTTTGTTAAATAGCACTCATTTTTTGTCCCTCGTACGATTTAAAAACCTCTTTACATTTTTTTTGTATAATAACCTTAACCTTATCTCGCGGTGTTTAATATTTATCAAAAAAAAGTTTTTGTTCTTAAATATTAATTTAATTTTAATAAATAGAAACTATTTTAAATAACTTAATTCTTGAAGAACTATCATACAATTATTACTTGCAAATTATTTAATGAATAATTTTATTTATTATTTATTTATTTATAATAATCAAAGTTCCTAGGGCTATATGGAAGCCCACAAGAAACAGTTACATGGTTTTTTTTATTAATTACAATATATTGAAAAAAAACTTAAATATGATTTTTAAGTTGAGAAAAAAAAACAACAAAAACAAGATTCATACTGAGCAAGTGTTGAGCCTAATAATACTCACACATAACTCAAAAGATACAAAATACTATTATCAGTTAAAAAGCTTATACATATACGTACATACGTACTAACATATGCACATTCACTCAATACATATATAAGCATAAAATTAAACTCAAAAAATAACAATATATAATATATAATTTTAAAAATAAAACATAAAATTTATATTGTACAAAATATTTGAAATTAACTTCTCATTTACCTCAATTGACACAAGTGAAATATTTTTTAAGTAAGATACAAAGAATATAAACAAAAGAAAAAGAATTACCAGTAAGTTATCTCAAAAACATTGTTTTTTGATTTTACTTAAGGGCATCCGGGAAATAATACTGGTTTCGTGATAGACGTCTCATTTGAAAAGAAAAGAATATTTTGAGTCGGGATTTTTTGGTAAATATAGAGAAATGCTCTGGGACCAGCGGTCCTCTCGGAATTTAGAGAAATTTTGATAAATAATTATTGAAAAAAATTGTTTAAATATACGAAAAAAGGGGTTTTGAATGGTTCAGTATAGACGTCTCATTTTGAGAGGATAAAATATTTCGGGTTCATATTTGGAGGGGTGATAGAGGAAGACTCTCCGAGGAGCGGCCCTCTCCGTTTTTGCAATAATTTTGCGAGGAAATTATTTTATTAACGATTGAAAGTGGAGTAATTTGAGGTTAATACATTTCCCTCAGTTCAACTCGCGACCACTTCCGAGAATTGGCGCACAGGAATACAATTATTTACACATTTTTGTATAAATTTCTTCGCAATAATTCAATTATTTTTATGTATAATAAAATTCTTCGACAAAATTCAATTATTTTCAAAAATTTTAATAAAATCCATTGCAAAATTTCAATTATTTTCAAATGTAATAATATTCTTTGCAAAAATTAAATATTGTTCAATATCTACTATTTTCATAAAATTTACGAAAAGAATTTAATTATTTAAACAAAATTTAACAAAATTCTACAAAAACTTTTAATTTTTTTCAAAAAATAATAAAAATTCCACAAGAATTTCATTAATAACAAATTTTTTTTTATAAATTTCTTCGCCATCATTCAACTTTTTTCATAAATAATAAAATTTTTATGGGGATTCAATTATTTTCGTAAATAATAAAATTCTTTTTAGGAATTCAATTATTGTCAATAGAATTTTAATCGAATTCCTCTAAAAAATTCTTAAAAATGTTATTAAAATTCGTCCAAAGAATTTAATTATTTAAAAATTTGTTGATAAAATTTTTAATAGGAATTGAATTCCAAGAAACATTCAATTATTCAATAAATTATTTATTTTTGTATTTGAATAATTGAATTCTGATAGAATTTTCTCATAAACATTGATTTAAAAATAGATTTCAGTTAAAATCTTAGATTACAATAATTGAATTCTTTCGAAGAATTTCATTAAAATTTTAAAGATAATTGAATTTTATTGAGACATTTTTTTAAAACTGTTTTAAAAATAATTGAATTTCTACCAAAAAAAGGTTTATCAAAACTTTTTAAAATGTTTGAATTTATGCTAAAATTCTGATATTTTTGAAAATAATTGAATACTTGCGAAGAATTTTATTAAGACTTTTTGAAAATAATTGAATCTCTGCAAAGATTTTTATTATTTTACGAAAATATTTAAATTCTTGAGAAAAATTTTATTAAAATTTCTGAATGTAATTGAAGATCTGCTAAGAATTTTGTTATTTTTAATTTATGCCAAGAATTTTATTTATTTTTACAAATTTTTATTAAAACTTGTTGCATTTTCTTTTGCTAGATACATTCATCATACGATAAGTCCCGATGATATTTATTTACGTATACATCCGGGGCAAAATGATTCAATGCCAGAAGATCCCTCTCATGCTGTTATCACAATTGAAAGCACGGATCCGGAAACAAACCAAAAACACATTAGTCGTTATAATTGTGAATACGATGGCTGTTCACGGACCTACAGTACTGTGGGAAATTTACGAACCCACATGAAAACCCATAAAGGTACAAAAAAAAATTATTGAACTGATATTTTTTAAAAACATAATTTGCATCTTTTACCATTTTTTAACCCATTGAAAAATACGGATTTTCACTGTTTTAAAAAAAAAAAAAAATAATTTCATTGTCATTAAAATGCTTTTTGACAGTGGTTTTGGTATTTAAAGCTTGTTTTCATAATAACATTATTAGAATAATAAAAAAAATCATTTTTACATTAATTTGGGTAAAATTTGTACAATCGTTTTTCACTTGGAATGCTTTTTTAAAGTTTTTATTTTTATTGGTATGCTTGCAAAAAGGAGTAATAGTTAAGGTAAGTGCAAGAATCATTAAAAAACCTAAAAATTGTGTTTTTAATTTAAAAAATTTTTTTATTTTATTTTTTATTCTAAATGGATTTTTAGTAAATTATTTTTTAAAATTCTTATTTTTTAATAATTCTGATTATTTTTGTTAATATCAAAATAAAATAATAGAAGTAAAAATTATTTATTAAAAACCTAAATTATTTCATTTATAAATTTCTATCGTTTCCTATTTTTTTCCAAAACAATAATTTCATAAAATGAAGTATTTTAATTTACTACAAGAACTTTGAAGAAAAAATAGAAAAAATTAATTTTTTTAAAGACATAAAATTTAAATGTTCACTTTCTTATATTATTTATGCCACTTTAATTTGTACAGTCGAACTTTTTTTTAATCTCAAGTTCCGAAATTTTATTTCTTCATCACGTTATTATTGATTTATTATTAATTATTATATTTAATTATGTATAATTATAATATTTAAAAATATTTAAAAATGTTTCACATAAATTTGATTTTTAAATATGTATTTAATTTTACAAGAATATTAATGCTTCAATTTAATTTAAATTCAAAGGAAAGAAAAAAATAATAAAAAAATAATTTTTCGGTACTCGAAATATTAAGAAAGTTTGACTGCACCTCGTGCTCTGTGTGTCTTGGAATCGCAGTGTAATGTTGATATTGTATCTGTTTACGCCGCCCGTGACTTGTCCGCTTAAATCTGCTGTTAACATTCAATAGTAAAAAAAATTGAGACACATTTTTTTTTTTGATTCCAATAGTCAAAATTTTCATATTTTATTCATATTTCAATACAAATTTTGTCGCGTGGATTTTTATATTCGAACTTTTTTACATAGTTTTTATTAATTTGATATTTATTACTATTTTTTCAGAAAAAAAAAATAAAAATGTTTAATTTCTATTTGAAAAATTGAATACTTTAGAAGAAATTTTTACTCTGGTAACAAATTAGTTGAAAGAAGAAAATTTTTTTCTACCGAGTTTCCCATCTATTACCACGTTAGTCATAGGGTCGATAAACAGATTATCATTTAGGAGCGAAATTCAAATTAAATTTTAAGAAAATTAAATTCTCTTAGAGAATAAATAAAGTTTTCAAAAATCATAACAGGGCTCGAAGCAGTGAAAGTATTTAAAAATACGGACTTTACGGACCAAAAATTAAAAATTACGGACCATTTACGGACCAACTGACAAAAATAGAATCAGGAAGAATCAAATAAGAGAACATTTTACTTAAAACTAGAAATTCAATGTTTTATAATAATTAATAATAATTATTAATAAAAATAATTTATAATAATTAAAATCATTATCAATTCAATTATTATTTTTAAGAATTTGAAACTAAAATTCTTCGATTATTTTTTTAAATTTTGTAAAAAGTTCTTTGACAATTTTGAAATTCATTTCTTTACAATATTCAATTTTACGAAATTTCAATTATTCGTAAATTCTCTAATTAAATAAATATTAGAAAATAGAAACTAAAAATAATATTAAAAAAAATCAATTAAACTTTTTCAAAAAAATTAATTACAAAATTCAATTATTTTTTAAAATTCACGATATATTGCTTTTAATATTCAATTATTATCTAAAATTTTAACTGAAATTCATTTTTATGAAATGAAAATCAATTTTTATTAGAAAATTCTACTAGAATTCAATTATTTAAATACAAATTTAAATGTAAAAATGCAAATAAATAATTGAGGGGCTGGATGCTATAATGTGTTACGCGTGAACACACGGCCAGTCAGTTGGGTTATGGAGAGAAAATTTTGAAGTTGTTCAAAATGAATTTAAAATTATTGTTTCTTGTTTAGAATTTCAAGGCGAAACTTTTTTTCTAATAAAATTTTTTTATATAATTGTTTGTTTTTAAGTAAATTGAGAAAAGCGTGATTTTCTAACCTAAGAAATTTTAATGAATTTTTGACTTCAACTCGTGATTACTTCGTTAAATATTAATATTTTTCCACGAAATTTACACACAATATTCTTCAAACTAGTTCAAAAGTGAAACAATATTTAGTAATTTTTCAAAAAATTCTATGTCTAAGTAAATAATTATTTAAATAAATGTGCCGGAAAAATGATGCAGCTATTTTCAATTGAAAAAGTTGAGTGACGAATTTTCGTTTTCGGAAAACTTCCAGTGACAAAAATATTCATCAATATGTTAGGAAGTTTTTTTGAAAATTTTTCGTCATTTGATAGTAAATTAAAGAAAATAGAGCAATTTTAACAGCGTCGTGCTCTGCTGTAAACGTAAACATTGACTCACTGTATACATTGGTCTTGTAATGGCGGCCATTCCACACGTGCGCGGCCACGCCGTAATTTTACAGCAGAGCGCGACACTGTTAAAATTGCTCTATTTTCTTTAATTTATTATCAAATGACGAAAAATTTTCCAAAAAACTTCCTAACATATTGATGAACATTTTAGTCACTGGAAGTTTTCCGAAAACGAAAATTCGTCACTCAACTTTTCCAATTGAAAATAGGATAATCATTTTTCCGGCAAAATTATTTAAATAATTATTTACTTAGACATAGAATTTTTTGAAAAATTATTAAATATTGTTTCACTTTTGAACTAGTTTGAAGAATATTGTGTGTAAATTTCGTGGAAAAATATTAATATTTAACGAAGTAATCACGAGTTGAAGTCAAAAATTCATTAAAATTTTTTAGGTTAAAAAATCACGCTTTTCTCAATTTACTTAAAAACAAAAAATTATATAAAAAAATTTTATTAGAAAAAAAGTTTCGCCTTGACATTCTGAACAAGAAACAATAATTTTAAATTTATTTTGAACAACTTCAAAATTTTCTCTCCATGACCCAACTGACTGGCCGTGTGTTCACGCGTAACACATTATAGCATCCAGCCCCTCAATTTATTGAATAATTGAACGTTTCTTAAAATTCAATTCCCATAAAAAATCGTTATCAACAAATTTTTGAAATAATTGAATTCTATCAACGAATTTTAATGAAATTTTTAAGAATAATTACATTTTTCGACAAAATTCGATTAAAATTATATTAAACATAAATAAAATAATTGAAATTCTTGTGAAGAATTATATTAAAATTTTCAAAAATAATTAAATTCTTGTAAAAAATTAATAGGAATTCAATTATTTTTAAATTTTTTTAAAAAATTCATGGCATAAATTAAAAATAACAAAATTCTTATAGCAAATCTTCAATTACTTTCAGAAATTGTAATAAAATTTTTCGCAAGAATTTAAACTATTTTCGTAAAATAATAAAAATCTTTGCAGAGATTCAATTATTTTCAAAAGTCTTAATAAAATTCTTCGCAAGAATTCAATTATTTTCAAAAATATCAGTATTTTAGCAGAAATTCAAATATTTAAAAAAGTTTTGATAAAACTTTTTTTGGTAGAATTTCAATTTTTTAAAAAATGTCTCGATAAAATTCAATTATTTTTAAAATTTTAACGAAATTCTTCGTAAGAATTCAATTATTATAATCTAAGATTTTAACTGAAATCTATTTTTAAATCAATTTTTATGGGAAACTTCTATCAGAATTCAATTATTTAAATACAAAGATAAATAATTTATTGAATAATTGAATGTTTCTTGGAATTCAATTCCTATTAAAAATTTTATCAACAAATTTTTAAATAATTAAATTCTTTGGACGAATTTTTATAAAATTTTGAAGAATTTTTTCGAGGAATTCGATTAAAATTCTATTGAAAATAATTGAATTTCTGCGAAGAATTTTATTATTTATACGCAAAAAATTAAATCTCCGTAGAAATTTTATTATTTATGAAAATAGTTGAATGATTGCGAAGAAATTTTTAGAAAAAAATTTGTTATTAATGAAATTCTTGTGAAATTTTCATTACTTTTTGAAAATAATTAAAAGTTTTTGTAGAATTTTATTAAATTTTTTTTTAAATAATTGAATTTCGGAGAAGAATTTTAATATTTCTAAAGATAATTGAAATGTTGACGACAATTTTTTTAGATTTTTTGAAAATAATGGAATTTCTGCGAAGAATTTTATTACTTTTGAAAATAATTGAAATTTTGCAATGGATTTTATTAAAATTTTTAAAAATAATTGAATTTTATTACTTTAGAAAATAATTGAATTCATGTGATAAATATTGTTAATTATGAAAATAATTGAAATTTTGTAATGAATTTTAAGAAAATTTTTGAAAATAATTGAATTTTGTCTGAGAATTTTGTTATTTATTTATAAAGATAATTGAAATATTGACAATATTTTTTAGATTTTTTGAAAATAATTGAATTTCTGAGAAGAATTTTAATATTTTTGAAAAGAATTTTATTACTTTTAAAAATATTTGAATTTCTGCAATCATTTGTAATTTCTCTAAAATTCTCCAAATTATATCGTACAATTAACGAACTTTTCATCCTTTTCGAATGAAATTACGGACTTTACGGACCTTTTTTTTAAAAAAAAGACTTTTACGGACTTGAAGCAAAGTTACGGACTTTTTCAGGATTTACGGACCTACTTCGTGCCCTGAAATCATCGTATAAAATAAAATTCTGCCAAAATGTACTTTTTCCAAATCAAAAATTCAAAAAAAAAACAACCAAAAAAAGCTAATTCTGATTATTGTAATCGAAGGCAAAATTTATGCGTCTCAGATAATTTTTGCATGGCATTCAAAAACAAAAAGAAAGAAAAAAAGGCAAATGAAACGTGAAAAAAAAGTTTGGCTTCTATATTTAAATTTTTTTGATTTTGAGAAGGAAAAACAAAATCTTCGCAAACTTTCAGGCGAATATCGATTTAAATGCTCAGAACCAAGTTGCGGCAAGGAATTTCTAACGTCCTACAGTCTTAAGATCCACATTCGGGTACACACAAAAGTAAAACCATTCGAATGCAATCACAACGGGTGTGAGAAGGCATTTAATACCCTTTACAGATTGAGGGCTCACCAAAGGCTTCACAGCGGTGACACGTTCAAGTGTGAAGAAATTGGATGCGTTAAATTCTTCACTACACTAAGCGATCTCAAGAAACACATTCGCACTCACACGCAAGAACGACCATACAAGTACGTTCCTTGGGTTTCTTCTGCCTTCCCGTTTCCATAAACATAAATTTTATTTTTCCAGGCTTCGCACTCATCTACTAAAACCTACTATTTACTACTTTTTTTACGTTATGCTACTATTTGGGAACTTTTTTTTAGATTTCAGCCACTAAAAGCTACTATTTCTGTTTTTTTTTTGAGAATTTTTACTACTTTAAATTTACTATATGATTCAATGATTTTCCATATCAACTATTTTCATAAAAGTTTGAAACAGATTTCAATTATTTAAAAAAATTTTCGTGAAAATCTTCATAAGAATTCAATTCTTTTCATGAAATAATAAAAATTTCTCAGGAATTCAATTATTTAAATTAGAATTTGCATAAAATTAGTAGATAAAAATCAATTACTTAAAAAATTTTATAAAATTCTTTGCAAGAATTAAATTATTTTTATAAATATTTTCATTCTTTCACGAATAATGAAATTCGTTGCAGGAATTGAATTTATTAGCAGGATAAGAAAGAAAGAAATTTTTTTGATGAAAATTAGGAAAAAGTCAGGAAAATAAAATATAGAATGAAATTTTTGTCAGTTTTGTAAAATGTCTAAAATGAGTTTTTTTGGTCGTCAAGTTTAATTTTTCGATAGCTACTTTTTTACTACTTTTTTTTAGTTTGAAGGCTACTTTTTGTTACTTTTTTAAAATTAATTATAGAGTGCGAAGTCTGTTTTTGATATTGAATTTCTTTGGCAACGGGGGAGAAAAAGAAACATTTATCACATTTCTCTAAAGAAACTGGGGTAATATGATAAAATTTCTTATCCCGATAGGTAAAAAATAGAAACATTCAGCATATTACCCCCGCCTAGTGGGGTAAAATGTTACCTTGGGGTAATGTGAACGTTTCTCTTCATTCCATTGACAAATTACTTCTCCGACATTATGAGTGAAAAAGTTTTTTCAAATGTTGCCAAATTCAATGCCATTTCCTCCTCAATAATATTGCATGACGATCCTCAGTTCTAATCCGATTGAAAAAAAAATAAGAAGCAAATTGGCTTTTAATTTGATCTTTTTTAATAATTAGGGATTTATTTTTTAAGGTGTCGGGAGAAAAGTTGTGGGAAAGCGTTTACAGCTTCGCATCACTTGAAAACACATAAACGAACTCATACTGGAGAAAAACCTTATGTTTGCAGTTTTGAGAGTTGTAGACGGTCATTTACGACGCCGCACAGTCTTAAGAGTCATCTAAAGACGCACAAGAAAAACGAGAACACGGAGGGGACTGTAAGTATTTGGATTTTTAACAGGGTTGCCGCAGGTCAGGGAAAAGTCAAAGATTATCAAGAAATAATGACTTTGAAATTATTTAATGAATAATTTTACTTAAATATTTCAAAATTAATTGAATTTTAAAGGAGTTGCGTTTACGATTTTCATAAATAGATGAACTTCAAAAAATTTTAATTTGAAATTCTATAAAATTTTAATTTTCAATGAATTTAATTAGAAATTTTAAAAAACTTAGACGTTCCGAACAATTTTAATAATTCAAATTCTTCTGAAATTAGTTAAATTTTTTAATACATTCAATTAATTTAAAATGTCAAGAAAATTATCAATCTTCCAAGTCAAATATTAAAATAATAAAAAAAACACAATTTAACGTTTCGAGATTTTATATTTTCTTGACATTTTATATTATCGTTTACCGAGTGATAAATTCTGCAACTATTTCATTTAATTAATAGCTAAAATAATGGATTTATAGAAGAATTTTAGTTAATAACCCTAAAAAAAATTAATTTTGGAGAAGTTACCATTACAAATGATTGCAGAAATTCAATTATTTTCAAACGTAATAAAAATCTTCTTCTAAACTTAATTAGGTTCAAAAATTTATAACAAATTTTCTTAAAAATTTCAATTATCTTTAAAAATTATAAAATTCTTCTCTGAAATTCAATTATTTTCAAAATTTTTAATAAAATTCTTGTCAAAATTTCAATTATTTTCATAAATTTTCCTCAATTCAATGATTTTCAATATCTAGTATTTTAATAAAATTTTCCAAAAGAATTCAATAATTAAATTTAAAAAAAACTTTCAATAAAATTCTACGCAAACATTTAATTATTTTCATAAACAATAAAAATTCCACAAGAATTCAATTACTTACGAATTTTTTTATAAATTTATTCGCAATAATTCCATTATTTTCATAAATAATACAATTTTTTACAAAGAAAATTAAAACTATTTTCATAAATAATAAAACTCATCGCAGAATTTCAATTATTTTTAATATAGTTTTAATCAAATTTCTCGAAAAATGTAATTATTAAAATTAGTCTAAAGAATTCAGTTATTTAAAAATTTTTTCATAAAATTCTTTACTGAGAATTCAATTTTGAAAAAAATTTCTTAAAAATTTGATTAAAATTTGTCGAAAGAATTTAATTATTAAAAAATTTGTTGATAAAATTCTTTATGAGAATTGAATTTTAAGAAACATTCAATTATTCAATAAATTATTTATGTTTGTATTTAAATAATTGAATTCTCGTAGAATTTTCTATTAAAAATTGATCTAAAAATTTTGAAAAGTAATAAAATTTAATTATTCAATGAAATAATTATTTTTTTATTTAAATAATTGAATTCTCGTAGAATTTATTAAACAGTTAAAGAATTGAATTTCGGAGAAATTACAAATTATTGCAGAAATTCAATTATTTACAAAAGTAATAAAATTCTTATCACAAAATTCAATTATGATCAAAATTTATAATAATCTCGTCAGCATTTCAATTATTTTTATAAATAACAAAATTCTTCGCAGAAATTCAATTATTTTCAAAAAATTTTAAAATAATTGTCGTCAACATTTCAATTATCTTTATAAATGAATAGCAAAATTCTTCGACAAAATTCAATTATTTTCAGGAATTTTAATAACTAATAAAATTAATTACAGAATTAAATTATTTTCATAAATAATAGTATTCATCAGATAAATTCAATTATTCTCTAAAATAATAAGAATTTAACATGAATTAAATAATAAAAAATAGAATTTGCATAAATTTTTTCTTTAATAATCAAATGTTTAAAAGTTATTTATAAAATTCTTCGCAATAATTGAATTATTTTCATAACTAATTAATTCAATTATTCAATAAATTATCTATGTTTGTATTCAAATAATTGAATTCTCGTGGAATTTTCTAATAAAAATTTATTTAAAAATTAATGTCAGTTAAAGTTTCAGATAATTATTGAATTTTTGAGAAGTTACTAATGTAATTGCAGTTTTTAAAAATAATTGAATTTTGTAAAGGTTTCAAATTAAAATCTTTGAAAATGTGATTTTTTTTGCTTTCTTCTCGGAAATTCAATTATTTTCAAAAATTTTAATAAAATTTATTGCAAAATTTCAATTATATTCAAAAATTTTTCTAAATTCAATAATTTTCAATATTTTATTATTTTAATAAAATTTCCAAAAGAATTGAATTATTTAAAAGCTACTTTGACAAAGTTTTACATGCATATTCAATTATTTTCTAAAATAATGAAAATTTCAAATAATTCAATTATTAAAAATAGAATTTGCATAATAAATTTTTTCGAAAAAAATCAATTGATTGAAATTTTTTTTTATAAATCTTTTCCCAATAATTCAATTATTTTCAAAAATAATAAAACTCATTGCAGAATTTCAATTATTTTTAATACAATTTTAATCGAATTCCTCAAAAAATGTAATTATTCTTCAAATTTTGATTAAAATTCGTCGAAAGAATTCACTTACTTAAAAATTTGTTTATAAAATTATGTATAAAAATTCAGTTTTAGGAAACATTCAATTATTGAATAAATTATCTACGTTTGTATTTAAATAATTGAATGCTTGTAGAATTTTCTAATAAAAATTGATTTAAAAATTAATTTCAGTTAAAGTTTTAGATAATAATAATTGAATTATTGAGAAGTTACTAATAATTGCAATTTTAAGAAATAATTGAATTTTGTAAAGGTTTCAAATTAAAATCTTTGAAAATTTGAATTTTTTATATTTTTAATTAAAAATTCTGTGAAACTAATTTTTTCAGAAAGCTTAATCGAAAATTTTTAAAATTATTTCAAATTTTTATTTTCTAATGTATATTTAATTGAAGAATTTCCGAATAATTGAAATTTCACGTGAAATTGAATTGTAATTCTTTCATCTATTACAGAAAACCAAAGAAACTCAAGGACCTGAGGCACTTTCAATTCAAGATACACCGGAATTTGAGACATTTTATTCCGTCGTTCCGTTAATGAATCCACAAGACGAGAATACAGCGATAATTAACGTGACCGAAAATACCGAATCATTTAATAATATCAATTTCATTGCCACCGATCCAACGCAAAGAAATAATTCACCAATCACAACACTTTTATATGACAATGTTCTGAATAATTTTCCCGAAAACGTTAATCAAGACTTTAACAAACTCTTTCCGGAAATGTCTGACGAGAATCTTTTGAAATTATCCGTTAATCAAAATCCTTTGATGTTAATAAGTTCGGATAGTAATAATGGCGATGATGATAATAATAACAATCGGAATAGTAATGACAATATCAACGAGAATGTTAATAATCATCATCAACAAACAAAAACACTGAGTTTGCAGGAGAAGATAATACAAAATGGTTTGGAAAATACGATAGCAGAGATGACGAACAATTCCCCATCGACTGATTCAATTTTTTATGAGAACACAACAATAAATAATGAACAAGTTTTTGAGAATCTTAATTTTATTCAAGAGACGAGAAATTCAAATGCCGAACAACAATCGGAAGCTGTCGAGTTGGCAATAGCGTCGGAGGAGGAAATCCCAACGCCTTGGATCGATGTTATGACAATGAAGGCCGAACCTGCATTAAGAACCGAAACATGGCCTGAATTAAATGCCTTTCCAACTGCCGTGCATTCACTCGTTGATCTCGTTGGTCCCGAGCCATATCCCCTGGAATTGGAGACCGAACGCAATTGTAATGAATCATTATTGAATAATGTCAATGTTGTCATTAACACAAAGGAAGCGGTTAACGAACAAATTGTCCTCAATTCTACAAGTGTTTGTAATTCCACTGATAAGCAGCCAATTGTCACGAGAAATATACTCGAAAAAATTATCGCCGATGCTGATATTTGCCGTTGTGAAAAATGTGATTGCTCTGATTCAAGAAGATGTAACAATTGTACAACATCTTCTTCTCCTTCTTCATCATCAGCATTATCATCTTCAGTGGAGAATAGAAGGGAATTACCAAATTTAATTGGTAAGTGTCCAAGTGATGAAACGAAAAATTGCGATTCATCATGTGCCGTTGTTATTTGTGTTAAAACACTTCAACAATTGCAGACTGTTTTAAATACATGCTGCAAAGTGACGAGTAATTGTGCTGTTGCATGCACAAGAGGTGAATTATTCTCCGGGCATAATATGAAATTATTAACAACGCAACTCGCTGGAAATCATTGATTTCGCTAGTAGTTTATCTTTTCTTTCATTTCTTTGGCGTAAAATCCAAAAGAAAATTAAATACTGATACGACTTTTTTAAACATGGTACAAAAATTGAAAGTTCAAGCTTTACTGTAGAGAAATCGAAAAAGAATTTAAATTTTGTTTACTCTGGCATTGAAAGAAGGTATTTTAATTTTATTTATTATTATAAACATTTAATGTTACTGCAAATTTACTTCAGACCTCAGACATAACTTTTTGGATTTTTTCAACTTATTTTCAACAATTATGACTTTTTTTTAATTTTCTTTCAAATACTGCAACGAAATACCACATTTTTAGCATAAAATGCAACTTACATCGATTTTTAGAGTGTCAGTTTGAAATTGTAAAATTTTAAACAATAATGTCATCGATATTATAAAAAATGTAGAGACTTCCATTCATACTTTGGATATAGATAATGATGTCAAAAACGAAGTTAGAGACAAGGGCAATTCTACTGTTTGTCTTTATAAATCTTCTTACTATAAAAAAGTGAACGATCTTTCAAAAACTATTTTTGAATAATTTTCCTAATTAAATTTTCGAAATATCAGGGAAAAGTCAGGAATTTTTATTAAAAGTGGTGGAAAAAAATTAAATGGTTAGAATTTAAAAGAAAATTCTGAATTTTTGTAAACTTTTTTGTTCTTTTCATAAACTATGAAATTATCACGAATTCTAAAAAAAAACGTTCAATTTTTTCTATTTCTGACAATAATTTATTTCAATGAAGGTATAAAATAACTTCATTCTATTGAAGAACTGCCATAAAGTTATTACTTATAAATCATTGATAAAATATTTTTTTTTAAATTTTAATTTCAATTCTGTTGAAATTAGTTTTTATTTTAAAAATTTTTGACGCAATTCTTCGAAAGAATTCAACTATCTTAATAAATATTGAAATTCTTTCCAGAAATTCAATTATTTAAAAATTTTTTTTTTAAATTCTTGTCAATATTTCAATTATCTTTAAAAATAGCAAATTTTTTCAACGAAATTCAATTATATTCAGGAATTTTTTTTATAAAATTCATTCTTAAATCCAATTATTCTCATAAATAACAATATTCATCACCAGAATTCAATTATTTGCAAAATTAATAAAATTCTTCGCAGAAATTCAATTATTTTGAAAAAATCTAAAGAAAAATTGTCAACATTTCAATTATCTTTATGAATGAATAGCAAAATTCTTCGACAACATTCAATTATTTTATCAAGAAGTTTAATAAAATTAATTGCAAAATTCAATTATTTTCATAAATACTAGTGTTCATCACAAGAATTCAATTATTTACAAAACTTTCAATAAAATTCATGACGATTCAATTATTAAAATTTTTTTTTTTAAACTCTCGTCAACGTTTCAATTATCTTTAAAAATAACAAATTTTTTCGACAATATTCAATTATATTCAGGAATTTTTTACAAAATTCACTGTAAAATTCCATTATTTTCATAAATAACAATAATATTCTTCACAAGAAATCAATTATTTTCAAAGTTAATAAAATTCTTCGCAGAAATTCAATTATTTTCAAAAAATTTTTAAAAAATTATTAATATTTCAATTATCTTGATAAATGAATAGGAAATTCTTCGACAAAATTCAATTATTTTCTAGAATTTTGATAAAATTCATTGCAAAATTCAATTATTTTCATAAATAATAGTATTCATCAGAAGAATTCAATTATTTTAAAAAGTATTAAAATTTAATTATTTTCAAAAATTTTAATTGAATTCTTGTCAAAATTTTTCTTAATTCAATGATTATCAATTTATTCTACTATTTTAATAAAATTTGACAAAAGAATTCAATTATTAAAAAAAATTTTGACAATATTCTACACGATTAATTCAATTATTTAAAAAAAAAAAATTCACTGGAATTCAATTATTTAAAATAGAATTTTCATAAAATTTTTCGAAAAAATCAAATTTTTTAAAATTGGCATTAAATTCTTTGCAGTAATTGAATTATTTTAATAAATTTTCAAATTCTTTTACAAGATTTAATTATTTTTAAGAATAACAATATTTATCACAAGAATTTAATGATTTTCATAAATAATAAAATTCAATTATTTTTTGAAAATTTTAATAAAATTCTTAACAACTATTCAATTACTTTTTGAAAATTATTTAAAAAAAAGCTTTTCGTTTCTAATCCTAAATCTTCGGAAGCCAAAGAAACGGCGATCTAGGTAATAGAGTAGTGAATTAAGGAAGACAAACATGTACAAATATGTAAAAAATGTGAAATAATCAGAAAATTTAGGTTCTGATTCGTGAAATTTCAAGTTGATGGGCCAAGGTTAGAAATAAAACAGAAAATTTTGTTTAAAAGAAAAGATTAAATATGACTCCCAAAGTCTAATGCCAAAGAATATAATAATTATCAGAATTAAACTATTGTTCATTTTTTAATCTAAACAAATATTAATATTAATTTTAACTTTGGAATAGTTAAGTGCTAATAATGTTAATAATGAGAATAAGATTATAAGAAGAATATCGTTGAATAAAGTTGCCATTGAGCCCGGCTTTTTATAACAACTCATTTGGGTGTTTAAAAATTCTGGTGCAGCAGACTTTCTCTTAAGAAGAGCAGTACTGAATTTATCAGCATTAATTTTTAGGATCTTGAGTCCTGATCTAACTAATGGACTGTTTAAATCAACAGCATCTTGGGTACCGATATCTTCATAAATATCACTTTTATCAATCGTCTTGACAAGATCTGTTAAGCCAGAGATAGTAGGATTAAAGATTCCGATTGAAAAGTTGTCAACTCCAGATTTTTCAATGTGGAATTTTTGATATAAATGTGCAGCAAAACATAAATTAGGGTAACAAATTTTTACATTCCGAGGGACATTAGGTTGTAAGAAACCCAAGTAGGACCAATGAGTTCCATATGTTCCTTGTAGTTGACATTGTTGCCTTCTGCAGCAACTTCATCGATCAAGGCTTGTACAGCATTGTTCACGTTGTTAACAGCAGCCATTTTATAGCCTTGTAAGGCTGTGTTGAATTCCGGACTATAGTCTAGATATCCTTCGACTCTGTCTCTTCCAATCAAAGGAGATTTCGCCAGTGATGACTTGTCATAAATGACCTGAATGAAGGTGCCTAATAAGGTGAGGCGAAGCACCTGGATCTCTGACTCCTGTAATTCCTGCAAGCCTCATCATTAACTGAGTGCTTGTCCAATGTCCTGCATCATGAACAATCGAGATTAACGTTTGTGTCACATTGTTCTGGAACTTCATCTCGAGGGTTTTCTTTACGTACCCAACAGCACCACCTTGACCTTACAATAAACATCACCCATGTCAATCACAAAACAAGTTCTATCTTTGGTTTTAACAATTGACCTATCACCTAACCGAACTCCTCCCTTAGAAGTAAAATCAGGGGAAAGATATTGTAATTGACTTTTAAGTCTTCAATCACTCATAATCAACCTCCTTTACAGGAATAAACTTTCCTAACTCATCACTAGTAATTGTCGATAAACTGACAAGATTTTCTATTTCTTGTTCTAATTCGTCACAAACTAGATCATGAAGCTCATCTTCAGAATCAGAAGAACAAACTGAATCACTGGCATATAGACTAAGCCTAACCGACTCTAAAAAACATTGTCAACATTTCAATTATCTTTATAAATAAATAGCAAAATTCTTAGACAAAATTCAATTATTTTCAAAAATTTTATTAAAATTCATTACAAAATTTCAATTATTTTCATAATTAACAATATTTATCACTCGAATTCAATTATTTTCTTAAGTAATAAAATTCAATTATTTTCAAAAATTTTAATAAAATCCATTGCAAAATTTCAATTATTTTCAAAAGTAATAAAATTCTTCGCAAAAATTCAATTATTTTCAAAAAATCTAAAAAAAATTGTCAACATTTTAATTATCTTTATAAATATTAAAAGTCTTCTCTGAAATTCAATTATTTTCAAAAAATCTAAAAAACTTTGTCAACATTTCAATTATCTTTATAAATAAATAGCAAAATTATTAGACAAAATTCAATTATTTTCAAAAATTTTACTAAAATTCATTACAAAATTTCAATTATTTTCATAATTAACAATATTTATCACTCGAATTCAATTATTTTCTTAAGTAATAAAATTCAATTATTTTCAAAAATTTTAATAAAATCCATTGCAAAATTTCAATTATTTTCAAAAGTAATAAAATTCTTCGCAAAAATTCAATTATTTTCAAAAAATCTAAAAAAAATTGTCAACATTTTAATTATCTTTATAAATATTAAAAGTCTTCTCTGAAATTCAATTATTTTCAAAAAATCTAAAAAACTTTGTCAACATTTCAATTATCTTTATAAATAAATAGCAAAATTATTAGACAAAATTCAATTATTTTCAAAAATTTTACTAAAATTCATTACAAAATTTCAATTATTTTCATAATTAACAATATTTATCACTCGAATTCAATTATTTTCTTAAGTAATAAAATTCAATTATTTTCAAAAATTTTAATAAAATCCATTGCAAAATTTCAATTATTTTCAAAAGTAATAAAATTCTTCGCAGAAATTCCATTATTTTCAAAAAATCTAAAAAAATTGTCGTCAACATTTCAATTATCTTTAGAAATATTAAAATTCTTCTCCGAAATTCAATTATTTTCAAAAAATCTAAAAAACTTTGTCAACATTTCAATTATCTTTATAAATAAATAGCAAAATTATTAGACAAAATTCAATTATTTTCAAAAATTTTACTAAAATTCATTACAAAATTTCAATTATTTTCATAATTAACAATATTTATCACTCGAATTCAATTATTTTCTTAAGTAATAAAATTCAATTATTTTCAAAAATTTTAATAAAATCCATTGCAAAATTTCAATTATTTTCAAAAGTAATAAAATTCTTCGCAAAAATTCAATTATTTTCAAAAAATCTAAAAAAAAATTGTCAACATTTTAATTATCTTTATAAATATTAAAAGTCTTCTCCGAAATTCAATTATTTTCAAAAAATCTAAAAAACTTTGTCAACATTTCAATTATCTTTATAAATAAATAGCAAAATTCTTCGACAAAATTCAATTATTTTCAAAAATTTTAATAAAATACATTGCAAAATTTTAATTATTTTCAAAAGTAATAATATTCTTCGCAAAAATTAAATATTGTTCAATATCTACTAATTTCATAAAATTTAACAAAAGAATTTAATTATTTAAAAAAAAATTTAATAAAATTCTACAAAAACTTTTAATTATTTTCAAAAAATAATAAAAATTTCACAAGAATTTCATAAATAACAAATTTTTTTTTTATAAATTTCTTCGCAATCATTTAACTATTTTCATAATTAATACAATTTTTAAGGGGATTCAATTATTTTCGTAAATAATAAAATTCCTTTTAGGAATTGAATTATTTTTAAGGGTTCATACCATTTTACACGCTTGAAAATGAAGCTATTTTCTAGAATTTTTTTTACGATTCCTATGGATTTTATTAATCTGCATTTTTTTTAGTTCAATAAATACACTCTTTCACTTTATAAAAAACCTTATTTTATTAA